GGTGTGTATAATACTACTGCTAAATTGCTTCAGAATTACTTTTGGCCGAAAATGAGATATGATGTCACCAATTATGTAAAGTCTCGAGGAAAACTACCTATTTAAAATATTATTTCTTCAAATCTTAACTTTTGAAAAAGGGTTTACTGAATAAAAATAAATGTTGCAACCATGTAATACGACGTCAAGTAGGGGCGAACCTAAAGGCACCACAAAAAAAGCGTAAGAAGGGGAGATAGAGAATACGCAACAAGACTAGAGAAAAAGCTGGGACTGGTCCCGGTCCCTTGGACGCGTGTCGCGCGTCTGTAATTCTTCATTATTCAATTTTTATTTTTATTTTGCATTAAATTGATTGTTCAATCCAATTTGTTATTAGTGTGGGTGTCAAGGAGAGATTACAGGTCAGTTGAATATTTGTTATTTTGTTTTTGAGAGTTCAATTATTTATACAAGTATGATTTTTCCCATTTTTATGTTTTCTTGTTTGTTTATAACATTTTTTTTTATAACATGTGCATTGTTGATGTATTTAACAAAAATCGTTTCATGCTGTAAACAACACGGATAAAGAAGTAAATTAAAACCTAAGAAATTATGTGCCGTCTTGTTGTCCTGAGATTTTGATTTTGTGTATTCAGAACGTGTATTAGGGCCTTGTTTAATTTACTAACATTTTCCTACCTTGACGAGAGAATATCCTAGCAAATTGAGAAAAATCAATCTAGAGATATTGGTTCAAAAATAACTATAGCTGGGTAGCATCCCGTATGGGACCTCAGTACCTGCTGGGAAACTGGCTAACTAACCAAAAAACTCTTCAGTATTGATTATAGGTAGTGCTGATTGAAAGTTGTGTGTGTAATTAAAATTTTAGCACAAGAACAGGGGCGGTACCTAGTTTCAACTTTTATTGAATTAATGACTCACAATTATTATTAAAATGACACAGTATGTTTCGATTTTTGAGGAATATTAGATCGAGGATTTCTCTGTCGTGCTCTTTCCCCTCGTTAGTTCCAGGATGAGAACGGCACGATTTATTTTAATAATAAAGTAGACGTTTCACAAATATTTCGTTTCTTTAACATATCACAACTTCCCTTAAATTTCCCTAATATTTGCTATGTCGGGCGCGTGCCCAGTAAGTAAAATTGAGTAAGTTTCCACAACGTAGGTCCTATTTGTTTTTCATTTAATTTTTCAGAAGATTTGTTGTTTAAAAGGTAATAAAAATTCTCATCGTTCAATCTTACTGAACGAACCCGGGTGTGTTATACTACAGTCTTGTACCAGTTGTGCAAAGAATAAAGTAGAACAAAAACTACCAGCTGGACTTATGGGAGACTGTTCAAAAAATTTCATAAGCCTGGTAAGCAATCAGCTTGGATTACATAGGACCTCTTCCGAGATAAGTTGGGAAAATTGAAGGTAAACTTCTTTCAAGAAATGGAGATGCTAATTGGCCGCTTAGATCTTGCGATCTAACGTCACTAGACTTGACTTTTTTTTGTGGGGTTACATCAAAAGTAAAGCGGATGTGAACAATCCCCGAATAATTCAAGAATTGAATTATGAGATTCGGCGCATTATTCGTGAGATACTACCGGAAATGTACAGATAAGATTGAAAATTTCGGTAAAAGAATTGTGTGCTGCGAGAGAAGTCGCGGTGGCCATTTGTTGGACATTGTGTTTCACGTATAATAATTATAAACGATCATGTTACCTACTTATTGCTATAAAGTATTAAATGATTCCTAGTTTGTTTTTCGTTTGAATTGAAAAAAACATCAGGAAACTCTTATTGGAACACCCTATATATTTATTCTTTTTCAAGCGTTTTCTGTTCAAAATCATAAAATAAGTAGTTACATAATATTTTCCCTGAATAGTGTTACTTATTGATTTCGAAATTTGGCTCTGCACAGTAGAAAACCCAAAAAACTAAAGATGTCGTCTTTATTATTTCAAAAGTACGCGTTTCACGTGCAGCCCGAGATAATGTGACCTTTATCCAGGGCTTTAGCGAAAAAAAATTATCCCGAGCTAAATCCGGGATTCTGGGCAAAGAAAAAATATTACATACATGTTTGAGAAAATGATGAGCCAAAGAAAGGAAGCTCCCATTTTATTTTTATGATTCAAGAATCGTGATATGGAAAGAAAAAAAAAAAACGAGCGTGAGTATTTTGTAGGGAAATGGTAAATATCATTTTCATTATAATTGAGATTTCATCTCCATTTATGAAAAAGAAATAAAATCATGTTTCACAAATTGCCTTATTGCGTCTCTGTGACAGATATTTGTCTTTATAGCATAGATACGATGTCTGGTATATTTGAGAATAAATATTCATCCTCTGGGAAAGAGGCGTACCTATTAGAGAATATTTGTTAAAGGAAAGGGTTACACAAAAAAGAAAATATATACAAGTCCTGAATAAAAATAAAAATTAATTATGTCGAACTGATATAATAGTTATTTATGTATCAAGGGTACTAAGTAGATGATTATGCCCTGAGGGCGACAGTCTTACAAAGCCGAGGGCCTCTGGCCCGAGGGTTCGTAAGTCGCCCGAGGGTTTATATATATATATTAGTACCCGTGGTGCATACAAACTTTTATGTCATACCAGTTGGTTGTGAATAATAAATACCTGGGAAAAAAGTGTCACTTCGCAAATTGTCATCAGTGTGCAAACATCATAATTTTTTGACAAAAATAATATGTTTATCAGCGTAAATTTATATTTTGTTACTAAAGAATAAGTTAATTGGAAACTGTTTTTTGCGTCTTTATGCCCGCGCGGGCCATAATGTGTACTTTATGCCTGCACGGGCATAAAGTAATGAATTATGTAGATGGTATCTAAGGTATAAAAACACAATAATGTATTGGTATGACATAATAGTATATTATGATATAAGTGTATAAGAGGGCATTTGAAGCACGCGCGACAAAACACGACGCGCAGCGGAGTGTTTTGTAAGTCGCAAGGGCTTTAAATGCCCTCTTATACACGCATATCATACGCTATTTTTTATTACGAATGCATCATAATCTCAAAAATGTTTTAAAAGTGTTCATTCATTTTGATAAGTAGTAATTTAAATGGCAGGTATGCAGGTAAATATCTAGGTAATGAAGGTAGATCGAACGTTTCTATAGCAAACCTTTGAAAAGGTAGACGCATCATAAACATCATTTTATGCACGCTGCAGCGTGCGATAATCGTTGATTATGATACATGCGTAATAAAAAATAGAATTTGGCAGATGAAAGGATACCTACATGGATAAAAATTCAATTTGGATAAAATTTCCGACAAAATTGCAAAAGCTTTATCAACCTGAATAAAGACGTTCTACAAGCGAGCAGCCTCATTTTTAAAATGGAAGGCAAAAGTTTCGTCGACGAGATTGAAGCAATAATTGTAAGAAAACGCAAAGGAAAAGCAACAAAAATACGAAAAGATACAAAAGTTGACCTTCATTTCAGACACCAAAATCGATCGGTTTTTTTGTACCTACGTGATTTTAGCAAATTTCAAGAGTTAGGGTGTTGCCATCGTGGATGTCGCTTGCAATAAATCTGAATCTGGCAATTCCTCCGCAATCTGCTAAACTGTAGGCAGAACATCGAAGAAATCGTACTGGTTAAGAATAGGGAAAATAAATAAATAAAAAGGTAAAGGCCCGTCTAGACAATTTCACCTCGCAGAATTACAAGTACAATAATTAAAGAACAGAAATCCTTTTTATCTTTATATCTCTATTGTATTATTAGGTGTTATAAAACTAGGTTGAAATAGGCACAAAAGGTCATGCCATTATATTTTATTTCAGTTATTAAGCTTTCATTCTTGTTCCAAGTTGAAGTAAGACCTCAAGTTTCTGCGAGCAAAAGACAATTTATAGGAAACAATTTGTTTCAGATATTGTTCTATTGTCGTATTTCCAATATCTTCGAGTACGAATGAAATTTTTTATTATGAATCCCGAAATAATTTCGGGTGAACGTGGAAAGCAGTTATTTAGTTACTGATAAGTGATAACTATAATCGACGCTATAAGTTAGAGTATAGTTTTCAAATGACTTTTAATAAAAGTGGCGAGAGACTTGTACAAATAGACGTAGATGTACGGACGGTATACCTAAACTTTATACAAATAGAAAGTGTAAATAATCATTCGTTGAAAGAGATAAAGAATCATAAATAATAGAAGATAGAGTTGAACAAATACGATAAAGCTAAAATCGAAAAATTGCTTGAACCAATTTCCACTTCTCGATTATATCATCCCAAAAAGAAAAGTTTCTTCTAATAGACAAAACAAGATGTTTATGGGCCAATCGAAAAGGTAAATCAAAAATTATTAACGAAAGGCAAGTTTATTTTCGAGTTTTTGTAATGAACAATAAATACTTGATTTATCCAATCCAAAGCTTCATGGATAATTGAATTGAATCTGTTAACATCACGTGACTTTACTCAAAATGAAACGAATTTCTCAGTTTTGAGAATGTTCAGGATCTACTTACATAGTTCAACAACTTTGCAGCCGCAAATTTCAGCTTTTAACAAGAACAAAATACTCATAAAAATATTTATGGCTAGAAAGAGCAAAGCTTCCGGTAATATAACCAAGAAATCAATACACAAGAGCCATTGCCATTAAGTTTATTAGAAAATTTGCTTAAGAATACTTAACTGTAAAATAAATAATGCAGAAGCGCTTAGGCCGATTTTAAAAATTGCTTTTAAGCATTTATAGAAAGTAAACAGATGGTGGAAATTTTGGAAATAACACAAGGGTGGGTAGGAAGGCAACGTTCGATTTCATTTCCATCTTAATCTTAATTTGAATTCATTTTTTTAACTATTTTTCTATTCTTGTATTTTTTACAACTTCAAAATTATAGAAAAAGATTTTGTAGAAATATTTAGGTACTTTTTCTAAAATTAAAAACGACAAAAGGAAATTTAACTTACTCACATGAAGAAAAAGAGATTATAATGTATTTCTAATAGCTAAGTATGATCCTAATTTATGAAGCTTCAACAAAAATAAACTAACACATAACACAATCAAAAGGCACTGTCGTTCGTTAATTTTAATTCTCACTATACTTCAGGGGAAATATTTGTATTGTTCTGATGGTGAAACCCCAAACGCACACACCGTGTCTCTTAGCGACGACCCGTCCGACGAAACCGACTGTAGCGTACTACAAACTTACAAACTACTGGGTCTGGGTGCCTGCCTGGTTATTCTTGTCTTGCCTTTCAAATCAGCAAGAGACCAAACCGAAGATTTAACCTCACCAACGGCCATTGAAACCATCGCCACGGCGCAAAAGTTGTGCTCGAAAAATACAATGAAATGCAGGCTTGGGTCATTACCTAATGGTGATATGCGTTTCCGATTCTTCTGTGAGCGGATTCCTCCGGTTGACGTCATACTCATCAACGATATGAAGGAACAGGTTGTTCTTTGACTAAAATCCATTGTTGAGTTACTACTTATAGTGAAAACCTTGATTTCTTAGAAATGATGACTATGATGAAAATGATATGTATTTTTTTATTACATATACTACATGTACAGAGCTATCAGAGATAGACAATAATTGTTTTCAAAAAATGTGCAAAAAATATACTAATGAAAAATACAACATACCTAACCATGGAAAAGAAGAAAATAATTCACTGTAGAGATGATCAAATGAAATAAGCCTTTATTTTATAATACAAGAATATAAAATAAACAAACATTACAATAATAATTAGCGAATAAAAGTAAAACAAATCGATCAATACACCAACATTTATAAATCTGACAAGAGGCCATTATACCACAAAATTCAGCCGCAGTGGGAATTAAAAACTGTTTATAGTCTTATTTTAAGATGATAAGGGTTGCCGCAAGTTTAATTCCCTTGTTTAAAAGGGGTTACAAAATAAACATCCGTCATAATTAACGCCCGTTTGATGAAGTGCTGTATAGAGTGCTAGCCTACACCAAAAAAAAAATTCTAATTCTTCTAGTTTGGTAATAAGTAAAAATGCTTGTGCAAATGCTTTCCGCAGGCTTATTTTCTACGAACAGCAATTACATAGCAACCAGCAACCGGTCGCAAGTTGCTTTTTTTTAATGGAAAACTCGCATTTGGCAGCGACTTGACAGCAACTATTGCGCAATTATCTGCGGTCGCAAGTTACAGAATAAGGCTGCCGGCAATTCAACCCTTTTATGGTACGTCATATTTTTGTAAAATCAAATTGGCAACATTACATAAAATATTAAAAATATGGGAAACGATTATAAAAAAAATGAAGCATAACTAATCCATAACTATGTCTGTTCATTTTAGATTTGCCCTATTCGTTTCGCCCTATTCTGTTTCAATCAGGTTTTCCTTAGTGTGGGGAATTGAGCTGATACTATGTACTGATCTGTGTCAAAGGTCGAGAAGAGCATCTGAGCTTGATCTATATCTGATTTTTGCTATATGAATGTAGGGCAAAATTTCAATTTTCAATGCGTTTAACATCACGACAAATATGCTGCAAAGAATATTTGATAAAGAATTAACACTCACCTTAGGAAGAATGAGCAGATTCAAAGAAGGTAGGAGGACACAAGTTCGAATCTTCACACTGAAACAAATAAATGAAAAATTGTAAAACAAGGAAAATATATACTATCATTTATAATCTGGCAATAATATGCCAGTAGCCAAATATGGGAAATTATAGTAAACTAGCGGATACCCGGCGTGTGCTACTACGCTAAACAAATAAGTACATTTTGTTTATTTGTTGAAAAAAAGCAAATTTTGTTCATTAATGAACTTTTTTATCTCAATGCTAGCGGATAACAATGTTGAGTTTTTTTTTCACACCTTTAATTTTCCTCTAACCGTTCTGACGGGAGCAAGCCTGTGACGCCCTTTGATCACATTGTCACGGCTCTGGACTGCGTGACATAAATCTTGGGATCGTTTATTTCAAAATCAAACTCCAATTAACACAACAATAATTTATTCCACGTTGCTACACACTCTGACACTAATTACTTCACTTATTAACTCAGACAACTTAACTCTCTGCAATAATTACTATCTAAAATGTATCACAGCCAATCTTAAACTAAACTACTAATTAATACCGGCCTTAATATATCCGTAATCTATTTTTGTAAAATCCAGAATAAACGCGCCCCCTTTCCCGAATATCATTGTAAAATCTAGAGCTGTCCAATTCTGTACACCACATTTTGTAACACTGCCCTCCTCTTAAGCTTAAGTAACATCTTCCTTAACTTCGACTTTAACTTCCTTAATCTTTTGTTTCAGGTTAGCGACAGATTCTTGTATGGTTTGAAATATTTTCTGCAGTAGTCCTATGCTTTTTGCTTTTCTTGTTGTCGCCTAGCCTCTTCTTGTTGTCGTCTAGCTTCTTCTTGTTGTCGTCTAGCTTTTTCTTCTTGTTTCTTTTTCTGTCGTTCAGCTTCTTCTTGTTGCTTTTCTTGTTGTCGCTTGGCTTTTTCTTCTTGTTTTTCTTTTTGTCGCCTAGCTTCTTCATCTTGTTTTTGTTGTTGTCGTTTGGTCTCTTGAAGTTCCAACATTTTGCGTAGAAGTTCTTCAATTTGTAGTTCTTCGGCTTGTTGTCTCGTGATAGGCAGATAAAGAATGTTATGGAATTTCCCTCAAACTCTCTTCCGATATCTTTCCTGATCTTTGATTGAAGTTCCAAACACGTCGATGAAGTCACAAATCCGATATCTCCCTTGGTTTCTAAATAAAATGTTCTAGAATTTTCCCGATATTCCTCGAAATTCTTTTTCTGAATGACGATTGATGTTTGTTCAAATACGTCTGTGAAGTCACAAATTCGATATCTCCATTGGTTAACAAATAGAATTGAAAATTCACTATCACATGCAAAATCGGCTATACAGTAACTTCCGGGGGTAATTTACACAATCGTTATAGCTATTTATGTACCAAGGGGATTATGTAGAAGAACTAGTCCTCGGGCCTCTGGCCCGAGGGATATATTTCGCCTGAAGGGTATTATAATCTAAAAATCCCCGTGGTGCATGCAATGCTTTATTTTCTACTCAACACATGTTCTTTCATCAATTTAGTATCAAACAAAATCAGTTAAACTTGTGTGATAGAATATTGTTTTGTATTTTGACATGTACCTGTACCTAGAAACGAAATAAATTAATATTTCTAAAAACATTTCATAAGGCAAGGCAGCGGTGGTCGTGCGGGTTAACGCGCTCGACTACATGGGAAATGTTGATGGTAGACTGGGTTCGAATCCTGGGGCCTTATTCTGTAAGGAACGAACCGTTCGATTCAGTAGAATTTTTTCGATTCCGACGTCATTTTCAGTTTGGTAGCGCGAAAACCAAACCGAAAATGACATCACAATCGAAGAAATTCTACCGAATCGAACGGTTCGTTCCTTACAGAATAAGGCCCCTGGCCAGACCGAAAATTATTTTCGGTCGGACATTTAGTGGCTGCCTAGGATAAAGTGCAAATTAATAAAACAACAACAACAAAAACACCTCGAGGTATTATGAGCGGGCGTTATAGATCATAACGCCCGCTGGGCTTATAATGCCCTGAGGTTGTTATAGGTATGTTAACGTATTTCGTTTCCTAGGTATTATGGATCTATAATAGTTGAGAAGAAGATAAAGTCTCTTTTTGTGTTTGTCACTGCTTGCACTGACTAACTGTCTCAGTGTTCACTTAGTGTTCACATTGTCTACACTATTCTACAATCGGATTTTACTTGTCAGTACTTGAAATATATCTCACTTCTGACCAATGATGGAATGGCCCAGCCTATCTCTAAAATGCGGCAAATTGACATGAAGAATGTGGGGGATTCCTATCTCTATTTACCTTATGGGCCAATTATGAAACTCTTTCCTTGTCTAAAAAATATTATATTTGAGGTTAGGAATATACACCAAACCTAACAGCAATGAAATAGAGAGAGAAATGTATCCCTCAATATATAGCTTTCTTTGGACGCATTAAGAGAGATGACAAATGTCATATAAATGCCATATCCCACAATGGTCCGTGCCATTCCAGGAACGTGTAGTTTATAGTTCATTGCTTCTGACACCAATGTTGCGGCTCTGGGGTGCGTGACATAAATCTTGGGTTCGTTTATTCCTAATTCCGAGTCTAAATTAACACAACAATAATTTATTCCACGTTACTACACACTCTGACATTAATTACTTCACTAATTAACTCTTTACAACTTTTACAATAATCACTATCTAAAACGTATCACAGCCAATCTTAAACTAAACTACTAACTAATACCGGCCTTTATATATCCGTAACCTATTCTTGTAAAATCCAGAATATACGCGATAGCCCCCTTTCCCGAATAGCACTGTAAAATCTAGAATCAGCTGTCCAATTCTGTACACCGTGGCGGAAGCGTCACATTTTGCGACAATATTTTGACAGCTGACATCTGTCAAAAACTACATTTGACAGGTTGAGTATTACATATTGCAACGTCACCCTTTGATGAGGTTGAAAATTTTTGTATGAGGAAAGTCGAAAATCAACTTTATGAACGACCGAATTACATTATCGCCTTTCAAATTAAACCAGTTCGAATTTTGTTTTCCTGTGTGCTTGGGTATTATATTTCCCAATTAAATGATTATCATTGAAAAAGACAAATACCTACATTAGTATTGGGTTTGCTATTAATCCATAACATGTATGAAACTTCACGAAAGAAGCAAATATTGAAAAAAGAAAAATGTTTCTTAGGGGTTCACAATAGCTGCCTACGATCTGACCATTTTCTGACCTAAGTTAGCGTTTTCGATTTCCATTTGTTGATCAGTGTGCACTGAGTGCATTCGCATCTTTTTCTAAAAGGATGTGAAATATAGGGGATAAAAATGCATTTTCGCAAAAAAGTTAAAAATGGTTCAACTTTATTGTGCATCCGCAGAAAAAATTGACAATTTCCCGCCAACGGAATTATTTCAAAAATTCCGCACCCGCAATCCGGAATTGCGCAACATGAGAACTAAGCCTTTAACGGACATAGGTAGAAACATTTTTTTTGTTTTATATTGTATAGATTAGGGAAGCGAGGCACACTGGATTTTTGTTATTTTTATTTTCAGGTTTGTTGAGATTTTAAGTCATAAACTGTATTTTTCGAAACTCGCACAAAACAAATTGGGAATCATAGAGGAGTCAACTGAAGTACAGTCTGAGTTCTGTGACAGCATGCAGCGAGCCATAGAAATTGATCTATCAGTGGACCAACTCCAAGACGCCATCATCACAGCGTTCGAAGATAACTGCACTTCCAAGGTCAAGGGACAAAGACAGGAAGTACCTACTAGCTTGTGCATCTCAGGAACCTTGGGTAGTACTCCCATGGCGGCACTGGAAATAATTATGGGTCTATAGAGCCCTTGGATATCTTCAGTGAGAAAGAGGCCAGCATCACGGCTTACAGAAAGAAAACGGCAGGAGTCTGAAAGCCACCGCCAAGCAAATACGGACACATAATAGTGACACATGTCTGTTACTTGATGGACGGGTTATATACCGACGGCTCAAAAACGGCAACCAGAACAACTGACGTGCTAGGACTAACGCGCACACAGATCAGACAAGTGGTAGGGCTATTGACAGAACACTGTCAGTTGAGGAAGCATCAGAACACTGAATGCAGACTATGTGAGAGGAAGACGAAACTCTTTCGCACATCATATGTGACTGAGTGGCTGTTTCACACAAAAGACACAGACATTTTGGAGCAATACAGACCAGGGATAGACTACCGCCTGAAAATCTTGTCCAAGGGCTATTAGGCCTGTTACAGGAAACAGGACCCTTGTAGGGCAAGAAGGAAATTGGGATACACAATAAGCCAACAGGCTGCAGTGCATAGAAGGCCACAGCGCCTGTTCCCCCCTACGCTACAACCAACCATAACAGTTTTCCCAGTTTAGACTCTTTAGCAGTGTGACGAATAATTTTGGTGAAATCACTCTATTTTGTATTTGCCCTGTTTGATATTTCGACTTCAGCTGTTGCTTTTTATTAAAAATGTCAGTGCAGAGTATCGAAATTCTCAATACACGAAGTCAAAAGCCTGTTCAATGTCTACGAATGTTAGCTTTAGTGATTTGTGGTATTCTACAAAGATTTTTCCTCAAGAACCCTAATTGATAGAAAGTGCTCGTTTATCCTGTAGTTCTAACGAAAGCCTGTTGGTTCTTTCGTAATGTAAAACTTCAATTTATTGAAAAGTAGAAAAAAGACATTTACTTATTTAAAGAGTATTGTGCCATCCTGTATAACACTCAGCGATATGAAGTCAAACCATTACCATAAAATCTGCCTTTCGAAATGGCTTTTTATTTTTTTCCAGCGTCCGCTTTTTTAAAAAAAGTTTTTTTTTAAAAAAAGCGGACGCTGAAAGTTAGAAACAAAAAAAAATAAAAAGCCATCTCAAAAGGCAGATGATTTTAAGATCAGATGACGATTTTTTTTTGTTTCTAACTTTCAGCGTCCGCTTTTCTAAAGAAGCTTTTATTTTATGTTTTTTTTTTCAGAGCATAGCAATCATCATAA